TTGAATTGTTATCTAAAAAAAATGTTAACAAATTATATATATTATATTCAAAATTTATAAAAATTTAAATTATCAAATCGATTCAATTCTATTCACTAATCGCTTTAATCTATATCCGTCAATTCCACAGATGAATACAAATTGATATTTTCTAATACACTCATTCGACATAGATTAAAATTTTTTCGCCAATAACCGAACCACCAACACCGTCCAAATAACAAATTTGAATTGAATAAGCAAGTGGAAATTAGATGACAAAATGCCCGATGCGTTTTAAATGATTTAAATATTCAACGAGGATAAAAAGCCAAGTCAAAAGTTTGAATTAAGGTCAAGTGTAACAAGTTAAAAAATTTAAAAATTATTTAAAAATTAAAAAAGTTATTATTATTTATCAAAAATCAAAAAGTACGGCTGCACAACACTCAATTCTAATTTTTCTCTACACATTAATTTATACAATTTTTTAATACACATTTTTTCATAAAAAGTCAAAAAGTTAACTCAAATATTTATATTTTTTTCTCAACTTTTTAGTCCAAAAAGATAAACAGTGCACTTATTTAGGACACCCCAAACAACCCATAAGTAACTACCAAATGATTAGTCACAACTAATAACAAAGATATACTAGTAAATAAACATTAGTACAACTCCAAATGAATTTAATACAGGGACGACTCTCATCTTTATTTTTTGTTTTTTGTTTTTTTTTTATTTGCTCTAAAGAAAAAGGGCTCTGAGGTGTCATCACGGCCCCGTGGGCCCTGACCCCAGGGTAATCGGTCGCCAGTTAGGAATTAACCCCCACCAAGTGGAGGACCCACCACCAGGGCACCAATGAAGCGCAACCACATGCCCTAGCAGAGGACAGGCTATCGAGGGGAGTACAAGGCGTGTTCTCATGAAGAGATTTCAAACACCCCCTCCCAGGAATCGGCCTGGCTCATTGCTGGGGAATGCACTGCATTCTCCACTAGGCCACCAACCATGGTGGTGGACGGCTCTCATCTGATGAGGTCACATTGCATATTAAATTCATAGGATTAGATGATGAGACCATGCCGATCTTTACAAAAAACAAAAACAATATTAAAAGAAAGAAAAAATAAAAAATAAAAAAAATAATTGATCATTGTTATCTTTGTAGATAACAAAGAAGTTTTATTTTTTTCAATTATTTTTTTGGGTAAAGAATGGAATAATACTTGTTATGGAGATATATTTTGTAAATGACAGCACGTGGTCAAGGTAACACCAAAGTGTCAATCGAGGTGCCATGTGGCTTGGTTTCTGATGCCGAGGTAACCTCTGCTAAGCCGAGGTTATCTGCAAAGATATCGGAATCCGGGATGAACGGATAAGGGACAAAAATTCTAGAACAGGGGAAGATCTTGGTCTGGATAAAGATAAAACTCTTAGAGAGTTTATCTCTATCTAGCTGGGAGTCTAAGATGAGTATTGAGCCAAAGTTCATTGAAGCTAGGCTTCTACAGGGATCAGGTTAGTGCTGCTATAAAAGTAAGGCACCTTTGTAGGTCTAAGGTAGGCTTTTTATTAGAGCATCTATATCAGCATTGCCAAAATAACAAAAAGGTAAAATATAGCTAGTAAATCACAAAATTGTTCCTCCATCAGTCTCAATAATTTTTTTTCTAAATTAACTTTTTGTTAAATTTGCTACACTGCCTCAACAAATTTATTGAGGCACTATTCGTTAGTTGCATGATTTTTTATTATATTTTTTGGAGCAAAACTGAGCCAAAATCTTTAAATCGGTTGTCCACTCGGATGTCCTGTGAGTGCCTGTAGAAAAAGAAGAAAAATGTCCAAAATTAGCTTAACCGGTCGACCGATCAACGACATTTTTTTTTTTTTTGCATTTTTTAAGAATTGTTTAGGTGGCATCTCACCAATTTAATAAAAAAGAAATAACAACAAATACAATAAGAAATCAATATTTTAATAAGATTGAGTTAGAATAAAGAGTTTGATGCAGTGAATACTAAAAAGGTGACTAGTTAAAATAGCAAAAGTGAATTTTGGGTTATAATTTGACTAAAAATTTGAAGAGGCTGATGTAGATGCTCTTATTTTGGCTAGTGAGTTAAACACTATTTGTTATCTTTGATAGATATATTGACTTGATTATCGGAGTACTCCCGGGTGGACGAACTATCACTGGATTCTTACCTTTCTACAATAGGTTGTTCGGGCTAACCTATTCTACCAGTGCTCTCCAGCTGAGTTCCCTATTTGGTTGTGTGGTTGGAAATCAACACTCACACTTGTCTTTATGGTATGCTAGAGGTTCTCCATTATATATATTTTTTGAATAAATGTTATTGTTGCCATACCATCAATAAATATCCCTTTCCCAACTTGAGCCATTAAAAACTTGGGGCTTGGGGTATGCTCCCTCCCGGTCTTAGGTTGAATATCTACTAGTAGTAATAAGTTTCTTGGAGTCATGTCTATACAAAGCGTTTGCTTTGACTTTAAATAGGACCCTCGCAAATAAGCAGTGGGATTGATTTCTTGAAATTAGTCGAAGTGCGGGTAAACTGATCCGAATATTCGATTATCAAAACAAAAAAACAAAAAAAACTTGAGCAATTCCACCATCGTAAGTGGATTGCACCAATGAATAAAGAGAACGTGGTAGCAAAGGGCTTTTTTTGTGGCCAGCTAAAGTGAAAAAGACATAGTGGACTGATGGCCAATATTTGAAGTAAGGGGATTTGACGGAGACGATGATGATGGCTTTGTTAGTGACGACAATAGCAGTAGAGGTGGAAGTGGAAGGAGATAAAAGAGGAAATCTATTCGGTATGTGTATGGTGGGTGGATAAGACAAAAAGTTGTGTATCGCTTAATGCGACAATAAGGAGAAGATGAATGACAATAAGTGGTATCTGGTTTTAAAGATATGAATAATTTAAGAAAGAATAATAGCATTTTATTGGAGGTGAAAAATTCTATAATATCGAAAAATTCTATTTGTATATCACTATTCTTCTTAGTACACACTATCATTCTAACTTTTAATTATGTTTTTTCTTCCTTAAACAAATTACATTTTTGTGCATTAACCAAATCACTGCATTTCTCAATAACCACTAACCATTCTCACTAACACTATCAGCTACCCCACCATTACCTCCAATCTCCGTCGACTGTCCTTAGTTACGACCATTACTATCCACCTTATCAACCACCATCGCAACCCCTCAAACCCTATTATTCCACCATCCTTTGCATGAGCATGGCCGACTCTAGACTAAGCTTAGTAAGGCCTGTGCCTAAGATCTAAAAAATTAGGCCCAAACAAAACTCCCAAATTCATTAATCTTTTACTATATTAAAAATTCAAATTGGCCCAATTTTATTTTATTAATTTAGGCCAGCTTAAATAGCTCAAAAAATTTAGTTTGGCTCAATTGATAAAAGGCCCAATTTAAAAATATTTATAAGTGTTAGTTGTTAACCCAATTCAAAAAATAAAAAATAAAATATATGCATATGTATTAGTCGTTAGCCCAATTCTATTTCGCCTCTTTTTTTATTTTTTATTTTCTTATAACTCTCTTTATGGTCCAATTATGTGTCCTTTTTAGTGAAATTTTTAATATTTTATGCAATTTTTAAAAATATTTTGTAGATACACATAATATAGATACAATTAAAAAGTATAATATTTGTGATTTTTTTTTAAAAAACAAATTATCAAATACAAAAAATATTTTAAAAAATATGAATTGCAAACTCAAAAAATTATTTTTGAAAACTCTAAACTAAACATGGTGATTTTTATTTATTTATTTTTTGTATGGAAATCTAAAAGGTTCTTGGAAAATTATTTTGCTTATTCAAGGCCGGTCCTAGAGATGAGGCTTATTGTGAGAGTGGGATTGGTTGGTGAAGGTGTTGGAATGAGGGACGACAGGGCGAGGAAGGTGGTGGTAGTGGTTGTTGCGGCGGTAGATGACAATGAAGACTATTAAATTAGGAATAAGGTTGAAATTTTGAGAAGATGAAAATATTTTAGGCTTATTAGATTTATCCATAATTATTACACAATTCACTCTAGAGGATCCGGACGCGTTGGAATGAGGGACGACAGGGCGAGGAAGGTGGTGGTAGTGGTTGTTGCGGCGGTAGATGACAATGAAGACTATTAAATTAGGAATAAGGTTGAAATTTTGAGAAGATGAAAATATTTTAGGCTTATTAGATTTATCCATAATTATTACACAATTCTAACAAAAAAGAACGATGACTTCTAAAAAGTAATGTTAGGTATATTAAAGTTTTTATCAAATATTTATATGGATGTAAGACTTACATCGATGCAAGTGGTTTGATAGACATTTTGTGAGTGATTTGATAAAATTTTTAAAATCTCTACTATTTTTGTTTTTAAATCTTTGAAGAAATCTCTATCATTATAAGTAATTATAACGAGGTTCTTATATGATAACGTTGACAATTTAGGGCTAGTTTGACATGTACTAAATAAGTCAAAAAGTCAAAAAGTCACTATCTTATTTAAGTCACATCATCTTATTTAAATCACATCACCTCTCTAACACATCACATCAAACCCAACCCAAACCCACCAATAAGTCAAAAAGTGCACTTTTTTAGGACATCCCAAACCAACCCTTAAAATCAAAATAAGAAAAAATTATTTCTTAATTCAAGTATTACGTAGTCACCAAGGATTTTTAAAGTGTTTTTTTTTAAAATTTCTTAAAGTAATGTATTATGTGATTAAAATTTAATGTTAAAAAATTAATATAACTTATTATTAAATTACATAATACACCGCTTTAAGAAATTTAAAAAAAAAAAAAAAACTCTAAAAAATCCTTTTCCCTACGTAGTCATGCTCTTGTCTAATCACAAATTGTCATGCTCCCTCTTATATCCTAAGCACCTACACAAAAGCATAAATATAATCTTCTTCACCAATCACAACTGTCCGGAACACCTACCAAATAACTTCTCAAAATTAAGAGGGGGAAAAAATGATAATATAACCTGAATTATGATGATGGGGTTCAGTTATGTACGTGGCCGGCTATAACGGGTCAAAAGCAACAACTGCCAAAGCCAACAATGGATGATTCCGAAGCTTATTTCACCCAAAATCCGCAATTGAGAAAGAGCGCCTCGTCCCCCACAGTCGTCCGATCGCGATCTCCGTTTCAACCCTCAGCTCTGGACACCGGAACCGAGGTCGCCGACCGGCGACATCGTAATCCGGCGACGGCGAGGCGTTGCTTTCTCAGCAATTGCACCAATCGTATCCGAAGATGTCGACCGTGATTGAATCGGAGGAGGGGGACAACTTTTGCGAAGAGGAATTTGAGAGAGTTGATCTTGAGGACGATGGGAATGAAGACGTGAGGAGAAGAGTCGTTAGGGTTTTGGAAGAGGGATCGACGACTAGAGGAATCAAGAGAGTTGAGCTTTCTTGGTGTAAATTGAGGATTCTTCCTGAAGATTTTGGGAAGATTCATGGCTTAACCACTCTTGACCTATCTCATAATCACCTAGAGGTTAGTAAATACCAATTCCATTAAAAATAATAATAATAGCACTCATGTTGTTCTGAATTTTGGATTTTCTTTATGCAAATCTAGTTAGTGCAATCAATGTTTCTTGATTCTGGTATGAATTTGAATTTCACATGTTATAGAGGGAAAATAAAATAAAATAAAAATTATACCTTTGGAACAAGTGGTGAAAACACAAGAATTCCCACTTCAATTTGAGCTTAGAAGATTAATGTGGTGCAAATCTAGTTAGTGCAATCAATGTTTCTTGATTCTGGTATGAATTTGAATTTCACATGTTATAGATGGGAAAAAAATAAAATAAAAATTATACCTTTGGAGTGAAACACAAAAATTCCCACTTCAATTGGAGTTTTGAGCTTAGAAGATTCATCTAGTTATGGGGTGGGGCGGAGAGGTGGCAGGAACTATAAATAAGAGAGGTGATATGCTATATATATTATTACGGATAATGAATTTATAGAGATGAGAGTTAAAAGATGTGAGATGAGAAATAAAGAAATAAAAATAAATTTTAGTGTTTTAGTCCTATTATATTTAATAAATGTAATTGGGCCAAGGGAAGTGTAGAACAGGGCGGGGGAGGAAAAACCTTGCAGGGTGGGGCAGGGAGAAATTGCCATCCCTATTTATGTTGGCTGGCTTTTTTGGTGTACTTGTGCCGGTACTACCATGGCTGCTATTGGATGGATCCTTTGATGATGGCATTTCACAATTTGCCCAAATTCTTTGATAATGCTTTTGTACTAGACAAGTTCTTTGATGGACATAATGCTGCATTGTGTATGTATCTGTATGGTGACTATCAGACCACTTGCAAGGTTATCAGGAGCTGATGTTTGTAATGATATTTAGCTTATTTGTGAGGTTTAGAAGGCATTTTATTGTATATTTTTGGTTAGGTTTAAGTAGTCAATCTATATATATATATATATGTGTGTGTGTGTGTGCAAATAAAATTGGACGATTAACACAGAAACATAGTGAACTGCATATGCTGAACTGCTGATACAGTTAGGCATTTGGTGATGTGTATATCTGTTCATTATGTACTCAAATGAAATCATAAATTGCTTTGAAGCTTCACTTTTTTGGTTACAACTGCATATGTTGGTGTGGGGTTTTGTTTTGGTAAAACTGAGTGAAAATTAGTGAACAAAGGTCTTGTTTGATTATCAAGATTAATAGTGAAAGGATAAATAATCCCATGAATTAATGTATGATTAGTTATTCAATTAAATTAGTGAGATAATCATTTCTTATATATATTTTTTTTCTTTCATACTTGAAATTATGATCACCAACTCCTCTTAATATTAAAAATTCGTTAATTTCATTGGATTGAATGTCCAACATACACCAACATACATGTAATCCAGTTAAGAAAATTTGCAATCAAACATAGGATATTGAGTCCATAGACTAATAATCCCAATCATATGCTGTAATCCTACTAATCAAACATGTTTAAAGTGCTGGGCTATTTATTGTTGCTCCACTTGCTGTTTTCGGAATCCCGAGGGCATGTCGATCACGTGTCTTGCTGAAACTGCATTTTGAGCATTTTGGTTCAAGTTTTTAACTGCATTGAGTATTTTATTTATTTATTATTTTTTCATTAAATATACCAGCCAAATAATAGTTAAATTTTCTGTTATGGATGCATAAAAATATCTTATGGTCTAGTAATCTACAGCAAAATTTTGTAGTAGTAGTTATTTTTCAGGGAACTGACAGAAATTTTTTAAAACATGGTTTTTACTGGTCAGAAACTTCTAATTCAGTGCTGATATGTAACCATGATCTCGTTTAATCGATTATCCATTGTTTGGATTTTGATCCTGACATTGTTCCTAACATGCAAGTTTTGTATGGGAAGCAGAGCATCCCCGATTCAATTGCAGGACTAAAGAAATTACAGGAGCTTAATGTTTCATCCAACCTTTTGAAGTCCTTGCCAGACTCTATTGGATTGTTGATTAATCTGAAGGTCTTGAATGTGTCGGGGAATAAGCTCACCTCTCTTCCTCAAGGCATTGGTCGCTGCCGGTAAATCTATTATTTACTTTTTATGTATATTTGTCAAGTATATATGTATATGTTTTAGTTTGATTTCTCATCAATTTGATATTGGCTTCTACTTGATTCCAGTTCACTGGTGGAGTTGGATACAAGCTTTAACAATATAAGGTATTTGCCATCAAATGTTTGGTATGGGCTGGTGAATCTTAGAAAGCTCTCAATTCACCTGAATAAGATCCAGACCTTACCACCATCGATTTGTGAAATGTGGTCTTTGACATATTTGGATGCTCATTTCAACGAGCTCTCTGGCGTGCCATATGCGATTGGGAGATTAGCAAATCTTGAGGTCTTGAACCTAAGTAAAAATTTTAGTGCTTTCACGGTGCTTCCAGAAAGTTTTGGTGAACTGCTTAACCTCAGGGATCTTGATCTCAGCAACAACCAAATCCGAGCTCTTCCTGACACGTTTGGCTGGCTTGAAAATCTAAACAAGCTCAACTTGGATCAAAACCCAATTGTAATTCCTTCAAAGGAGATTGTGAGCAAGGGGGTTGAAGCTGTGAGGGATTTCATGTTAAAGAGGTGGATTAACGTCATAGAAGCTGAAGAACCGAACAGCATGCTTCAAGCAAATAAACATTCGAAGACTGTGTGGTGGGCATTGAGAACATGTGTGTTGAAAGGGAGCACACTTCCACGGACCCGTCTTTGAATCAAGAGATGTGATTTCAAAATCTTTCCTTATCTGTAAATTTATTAGTTTGTAATGAAGCATGTGTTGTTGACGTGTTTTGCGGCTTAATGGTGAATTGCCATTATCCCAACTCCGCATGTTGTGTGATGTTTGCCATATCTTGCTTTTATCTGTATAAATTTGAACTCACCTTGTACTCATGGTTTGTAACCAGTGAATTGATATGACTTATTATTACATAATTGATGGCTAAGAGCCTATCTTGTTATCCCCAAATTCATTTGAGATGTGAGCATGTTGATTACACCTACAACAGAAATGGAAATAGAGTGTTTCGTGGTTTTAAAATGATGAATTTTGTCTCGACTTGGAGTTTAGAGATGTGCTCTCTCCAGATCTCATGGAGGGAGCATTTTGTGTGTGTCGGAATTAGTCAAATTGCGTGTAAGATGATGCAGATATCCCATCATTTAAAAAAAATTAAAATAAAATAAAAAAACCACCGCCACATCCCAATTTGATGGGCATAAGGTTATAATATTGATTTGTGAATAATTTTTTTATTGACTTTTTTTCTTCAATACACTTGGCAAATACTCTGAGGTTTTTGTTTTTTTGATTTTTAGTGATTTTTTTTTAAAAAAAAATTTGTAGTGAACTTTTTTTTCTTTGTCCCCTTTATGTTTGACTCATTTCTCATTTTGAACTATAAAGTTTATTTTTGAAAAATTAGTCTAAAGTCTCTCTTTTATTTTTAGTAATAGAAGATATCTATAATATTATTTTATGATGTCTAAGGTCCCTCAATTTCACACCAATATCATAGACAAATTTGATTCTCTTACATCAAATCTCTCTATCTGTTCGAAACCTACCAAACTCAACACACAAATCCAAAACCAGTCCACTCCCGCTTTCCCTCTCCTCTCTTTTCTTTATCTGTCCAAACCAAACCCTAGTCTACTTACGATCTGGATCTCTACAATCTTCTCTCTCTCTCTCTCTCTCTCGAAACATCAATACACAGACATACCACTGATGGCGAAGTGTTTGGGCCGTCGTCCACCAAGTCTACGGCGTTGGTAGCATCGCTGGTGGACGGGAACGTGAAGCACCGCGATCTGAGCCGGACCACCACGATCAAACCACCATGATCTGAGCCGAGAACCACTGCAATCTGAGCCGGACCACCGCGATCTGAGCCGTGATTTCTTGTTTTCTTCTTTCTCTTTCTAGCAGTCTGTTTGTCTGTCTCTCTCTGTCTTTCTCTCACTACACCATTGTGGAAGGGTTTGTTGGTGGTGATGGAGGTGACGGCCTACTGTAAGCCACCGGTGAAATCCTCAGTGTGGCCTCACATGGCCATCACTCCTTAGCTATGAAGGTAACTACTACGACTACTATTTCTCTGATTTTAATACTATCTGACATGGATAGGCCCACGAGGCATACAGACATGGATAGGCCCACGAGGCATACAGCCCACGGAAAACCGCCCCGAACCCATCGCCTCGGACCCATAGCATAACTTGATTGGCAAAGCCCAGGACAGCTGGAGTCCACCTGGACGTGGAGGGCCAAGGGCATTCGGACACATGACAGATGAGACACAGGCCACATCAGCAGACAAAGATCTGCAGAATTATTGCCACAACACATCACCATTAATGCAGCCCATCACAGCATTTATTACGACAACACCTCCCCGTCGGAACAGAGCCCCCTCACCCTGAACAAGGTAAGCTACGGCACAGGCTTTCGGCAGAAAGGGGGGCACGTCACAAAGGACAGTGAAATGATTACCAAAGGATATAAGCAACAAGAGAAGCACAAGAATAAGGTTAAGCTTTTCATCTCTCCATCTTCTTCGCTACATTTTCCTGTTTTTCTTCTACTAATTCTCTCGCCGGAGGGTTCACTGGGGGACTGCCCCGTTCCCCTTTGGACTTGTTTGCAGGTCATTTGACGGAATCACCACCCGAAACCGGAACCTGAAGAACCTGGGCTAGCCTGACCCATCCACTCGGGACGGACTGTATCATCACTATCTTTGTTTAAACATTAAATTCAATTTAGGGAAAAAAACAAAATTGTAAAAAATTTGTCTTGGATTGGAAAGACTGCATTCATCTATCTGGGTGGAATGTCAGATTTTGAACAAATGGCTATCTAAAAGGTAGAGGTGTTGTTGATTTGCATTGCAGAAAGAATATGAAGAGAACAAATGGCTGGCTAAGAGAGGTAGAGCCGATGATGGGGTTTCCATGTTGGTTCTTTCTCTGGTTTTGTTAAAAGCAGAGAAAATGATAAATAAATCAAAGAAAATTATAAGTAAATCAGGGAGAATTTCTATAGTTTGGATTAAATTTTTTCTGGTTTGGACCAGAGAATTTTTTTAGGTTGAATTGAATTTTCTCTAGTTTAGATCAGAGAATTTCTTTAATTTTTTCTGATTTGATTTGAGGGACCTTAGATATTATGAAAATATTTGATATGTTTTATGCTATAAAATCTTAATACCAAGAACCTTAAAAAAAAAATCTCCTTTATTTTTCCATACTTTGGCCTTTTATGTTTCAATTTTTTTTTAATTTATTCTTAAAGTTAATTTTTATTAAAAATTAGACAAATTTTTTTTAAGGCAAATTACATATACTCCCCTCGAGATTTGGTTAAATTACAAATATACCCTGAGATTTGAGAAATTACAAATTTCTCCCTGAATGCTATATTTGCATAACAAATTAGGAGGTAATTTGTTATGAAATTTAAACTTCAAGGGACAAATTGTTATGAAAATACAAACCTTAGAGGGCGAGATGTAATTTCCGAAACCTCAATGGGATATTTGTAATTTAGTCAAACCTCAAGGAAGGTATATGTAATTTGAACTTTTTTTTATTAGACGCAAATTAAAATTTTAATATAACAATATATTTTTACGTTAGGTGATAGTTATGATGATATTTTTTTTGGTCTAATTTGAAATAAAAGTTAACTTTAAGAATAAATTAAAAAATATTTGAAACATAAAGTGCCCAAAAAAGAAAGACCAAAATAATAATAATAATAATAATAATAATTAAGAACCAAAATAAAAAAAATGACCACACATAAAAGGGCCAGAGTGTAATTTACCCAAACAGTAATGATCAATCTTTTTTTAAAAGTATGACATTTGGCAACTGTCATATTCAATTATTGAAACACTACTTTTCACATATAACTACTATATTACAACTTTAGCAATTCTAATGACAAATTATTAACGTTAAGTTTGGCATCTCATATATAATTTATTTTTTTATTTTTTAATCTTTTTTTTATCACATTACCTCTCTATTTTTCTGTACATTTTTTCGTAAAAAGATAAAAAGTACACTTATTTAGATCATTCCAAACAACCCCTAAAAATGATCTCAACATGTTGAGTTATGTTAAGAAGGCTATGTTTGGTGTGGGATTGAAACGAAGCTTTGCTTGAGACCTTGTTTTGTGTTAAGGTCAGTAAATAAAAAATTGTGCCTTTTTATATATAAATGTCACAATATTAATTAAAATATGAAAAAAACAATATTAAAATAATAACACACTTCCTGTTCAGTTTTAAAAAGTTGTTAGTGATTTTAGAAATTTCATGAATACATCACCTAATTGCCGTCACTTGTTATTCAATTCTTGTGTTCCGAAAGACTGAAACGTTAAGAAGTGAGGTGAGAATTTTGTGTCCTTACTTGACCTTTTGAACCCACAACGTCACATTGATTTTGAGTTTGCATGAATGTATGAAGAAAAAGAAAATTTTATTGCGGGACTGTTACGTTGCTCGAAAATTAAATGGCTCGAATGGTTCGAAATCTCAAAACGACGTCGTTTTAAGGTATTTTTTGATTCTCTTACCGGTAAGATAATATTTTCGAGCCATTCGAGCTCTACACATTCGAGCTCTCACGCATTTTTCATTTTATTATACACACTTCTAAGAAAAAGTGAATGTTAGATTCCTTTTTGTAATGGCATCAATTTTTTTTTTTTTTTTAAATTTTGTTGAATACAAAAATTCATAATTTTTTGATATTCAGGGTTCGTTAACTTTTTTAATTGACTTTTTAATTTTTTTAACTTTTTTAATCTAAGACTTTTTTTATTGTTTAGTTTTCTTGTTTTGATTTTTTTACTTTTTGTCTTGTGAATGACAAACTTTTTTTTTTTTTTTTTTTTAACTTTTTAACTTTTTGATTTTTTTTTTTTTTGTCCATGTGTGATTATTTAGCCCAATGAAAAAACCAAACCGGGGCTCATAAATAACACAGTTCAATATATCATCATATATTTTTGTAATTCATTACTATACTAAAATTGATCATATTTGTTAACAAGCATGTAATTATCTTTGTGATTTGAAAACTAACAAATCATATATCAATAATACTATAAATTCAGAAGAAAAAAATGTATAGACAATTATTTTAAATGGGACAGTGAGACCCATGCCACAGATAATATATTTGATCACATATCTACCAAACCAAGTGGTTTAAATTTGATAGGTGTGTGTGCTTGCTTCCTTTCACAAATCTCTGGCTAACCATTTGTTCCATCAATAGCCCAAACCTTTCTTCAATCTTCTCATCATCAGCATCATCATCATTTTATTATGGACACTGCAACTTTCAAGTTAGCAAATGGCTACACTCCTTTGTCTCTCTCCTCCCCAAATTTCATACTCCCAGAGGACAAAAGACCATTCCTATCACAAGTACCATCTTTGGATTCAATTCCCATCATCAACCTGAACGAAGATCCAGAGTCTTTGATCAAGAAAGTATCGCAGGCTTGCGAAGAATACGGGTTCTTTCAAGTCATCAACCATGGAGTTTCAGAGGAATTGTGCACAAGAATGATGAATGCTGTTTCTGATTTCTTTGATTTGCCACCCCAAGAAAGAGGAACTCTATTCACAGATGATAAAACAAAACCAGTGAGGGTCTCTAACTACCATATTAAGGGGAAAGGAGAAGAGAAGGTGACTATGTGGAGTGAAACCTTTGCTCACCCTTGGCATCTTGTTGATGACTTCACCCATCTCTTACCTCAAAATCCTCCTCAATACAGGTACTTTTCTCCTGTTTCTATCATTTTTTTAGGGCAAATTACATTTTATTCTCGGTTGTCGCTTCATCTCTATCAACTAAAATTTGCAATTTTTTTCCCCTCAAAATTCGCTATTTTTTCCCTCTCTAATAAGTGTGAGCTAGATGAGTATACATATTTTTTACAAGTAGGTAAATTCGTCAACTCTTAAAATGAATATTTTAGATTTCATTTCTTTGTTGTCGTATTTTTTAATAACAAAAGATTGACATTAAAATAAATTAAAAGATTAGAATACAAAATAAATTAATATTTAATTGATAAGACAAAATAACAACTAGAACTGGGCTTTCTCTAGTTTTTAATCGGATTGGAGAGGTGATATCTAGTCCAATGAGCTCATTTCATGGAAAGAAAGATAGAAAAGATGGATGAAATATAAATAAAATATATCTATATTTTATCTAATTTTATATTTTTTTTTTCTCTTTTCAAATCACTTTCCAAATCCTTTAACCAAACATAACGTAAGTAAATTAATTTTTATTTATTATAAAAAGATGTATAAAAAATAAAGAAGTGATATGATTTAAATAATTCAAAAGTCAATAAAATTATTTCCTAAAAGTAATTTTTAACTTTTAATTTATTTTGAGTCACATCATCTTTCATATTTTTTTATATTTTCAAAAAAAATTAAAAAAATCAGATTTTAACTATCTTTTCAAAACAATCCATAAGTATATTTAATTGTAATTTTTTATCTATGAAACGTAAAGCTTGCTTTGGTTTGAAGTTTATCTATGATTTCAATGATTGGGAGGAGAGAGGGAGTTGTCACAGCCCACCAGCAAGTTTATCTTAAATATATTTTTAATAATCTAAATTATTTATATTGTAAGATTCGTTGAATATATTATTTACATAAAAAATTGAGATTAATCAAATGTGTAGCCCTATGATCAGTTCTAATTATTTTTTAAAAAATTATTAAAATTATGCTATTGCTTTTTTTTATTATAAAAAATAAATGTGATTTTATTATGGGTTATAGATGCCCAAATAATTTAATTTTTTCAATAGATAATCTATTTGACAAAATTTATAATATAAATAATTTGAATCATCAAAATAAATTTGAGACACATGTTATAAATGTCACATCACTTACCCACTCGATTTAGGGACAATTTGAAAAGTTAGATAAAAATTAATTTTTAACTATTAACTCTTTAAAAATTACATCGCGTCTCACATTTTTTTATATACAAAACAAAAAAAACAAAAAATAAAAAATCAACTTTTAACAAACTTTCTAAAAACACCTTTTAATAGGTTGTTGGTGAATATGCAAAAGGAGATTGGTGGATAATTAATGAGTCTCATCCTTATCTTGTGGACTTTTATTTATTTATTTTTTTGGGATCTCTTGAAACAATTACACTTAATATTTTTATATTTTTTACTCTAATTTCATTTTGATCTTTTTATTTTTATTTGTCGTAATGAATTTTTTTATATTTTAAGTCAAATTATAATGTCACTTTTTTACCACCTATAACTAATGAGATTGACAAAAATTAAAAGTGAAAAAATTAAAATGAGATTTTAGTATAAGCATAAGAATTAAAATGAGATGATGAAAGTATAAAAGCACTAGTAAGATGAAAATAATATCACATTTAACTGACATGATAAGTTCCGTCAGTCTTATTAATTGTAGATAGATGGAAGAGTAATATTATAACTTGATTTAAAGTGTATAAATTGACTATTACAAATTAAAAAAAGAATAAACCAAAGTTAAATTAGAGTGAAAATACAGGAATACCCAGTGTAATTAACCACATCTTTTATCTACTTTATAACATATGAGCGTATGCTTAATTTTAATTTTTTTTTTTTTGAACTATGGAATGATTTAGAGGGGTCGTTGCTGAATATGCAAAGGAGATTGGTGCATTAATGAGTAGGCTCTTGAGCTTGATATCAAATGGCCTTGGACTAGATAAGGATTGCTTAGAGACAAGGATAGGTGAGAATCCAAGGTTAGTCACACAAGCAAATTACTATCCACCATGTCCAGACCCTGAACTCACCTTGGGGCTGCCTGTTCACACTGATCTCAATGCGCTCACAATCCTCATGCAATCGCAAGGGGTGATTGGCCTCCACGTCATCAAAGATGGGAAATGGGTAGCCGTCGATCCTGTTCCAAATGCATTTGTCATCAATCTTGGGGATCAGATCCAGGTATTTCGTTATCTTGATGACGATGATAGAATCAATAAATTATTTTTGTTGGATAAATTATAAATACATCACCTATATTTTGGTTTGATTGATTTATTTATTTATAAATTACAGTAATATTTTTATCATTAATTTTACTTTTTACTAATATTAAAAAAATGTAACTTCCCACTTACAAATCAGTTATAACAACTCTTTCTTTCTTTTTTTCATTTTTTATATAATTTATTGTCATTTTTGTATATATATATATATATATATATATTTATTGATTTGGCCAAAAATATGTGTGTTAAAAAAAAGGAGGTGTTTGGTAAGAAAAAAAATAGTTTAATTTAGGTTAAAATTTAAAAAAAAATAAAATAAGTTAAAATAATTAATAAAATTAAATGTCACATCAAATTTATAATCATTTCACTTTTTTTCTTACAAAATTATATCCAACTACAAAAAAATTTTCAATTATCTTTCCAAACATAAAAATTTTAGTCTACTAAAATAGTCAAAAATTAAAATAACTTATTAAAATAGCCAACTTTCCAAAGGAGACCTATATATATATATATATATATATAAAGTATAGGCTGAACTTGGTGTATTGAAACCTAAATTATCCTTCATTTTGTAACTACTCGTTCGTTTATAACTGTCTTCTAGGGATGGGCGCGGGTCGGTTGCGGCCACGGAACCTCCAATCCGTCATCTGTTCGCCAGCTTGGCGGATTGGAGAAAATCAATTCGCATCCGTCCACCAATCCGGCGGATATAGATTGAGCGGATTAGCGGTTTGGCGGATGGATGCGAATCGGTTTAGCGGTTTAAAATTTTATAAATTTTAAACATAATTCACTTTGTGCACTTCCTTAAAAAAAAAAGAAGAAAGTATTACAGTTAATGACTTAAAAAAATATTACAATCATTGCATGACACATCCAAAGCAAGAAAGTTTGAAACTTTAGAATATCACAATTGCCTCATCCACATACTACAATCACAGCATGTGTCATCCACATAAAATATTAAAATTTGTGGTTCTTAAAATATAAAAACAATTCAAACCACTTAAACTATGAACAGAACAGTAGTAGAGATTGTATGTCTCTGTATTGTTACATCTATATCTGTTTTTCAAAACAAAAACCAAGTAGCATATATCATATTTTCTATTTATTATTTTTAAAGATAGATTTAAAAACCAAAAAATATAGATAAATAATACGTTTATTTTTTTCAATTCAAAAAAGATATTCAAGTTGAAAATTTTTTTTCAACAGAATATTTAAACTTTTTTTTAATTGAAAACACAAACAGAATATTTAAACAAACTGAAAACACAAAATCTTATAAATTACTAGGGGTGTTCGCAGTTTGGCGGTTCGGTTGCGGCAAAGAAATCTCAAATCCGCTATCCGTCTGCCAGATTGGCGAATTGGAGAAAATCAATCCGCAACCGTCCGCTCGTCATCATGCATCTGTCCAAAATGCGGCGGATCGGTTTGGTTCGGTCAGTTTTGGGAGATTGACATATCCGCTGCTCACCCCTACTGTCTTCAATTAAACTGGATTTTGGGACAATTTAGGAATCTAGCTAAAAGTTAATTTTTGACTTTTAACCCATTTTAAGTCACATCACATCTCATATTTTTTACATACAAAAAGACAAAAAATTTAAAAAAGTCAAAAAGTCAATTTTTAACCAATTTCTTAAATCACTCCTCTAATTACATATGTATAAATTTTAATTAAATATTTGAGGGACACTCATATTAGTTGTGTAGACCTTCATATATATATATATATAGAGAGAGAGAGAGAGAGAGAGAGAGAGAGAATGGGAGTCGAGGGGAACGAAGGGGTGTGGACCGAACTACTTATCTGCTTTTTATTTTTTTTGGAAAATTTCAAAAAAGTGGAGTAAATTGTTTTTTTTTTTCCAATTAATAAAGGTATAAGATTTATTTACATAATTAAATGTATAAATTACTTGTACCTTTATCATTTTGTAATTACTTTTTTACTTTGTACTTTTTAAATATTTTTTATTTTTTTATATACACATAATACACATTTTAATTATATTCTTAAAGTAGCCATTCGCACTCCAAATTAGCTAACACTTCTCAAAGAATGAGCTAGATTCATATTAATACTTTTTTTTTTTAAAAATTAATACTATATATATACTTCTAATGTACCAAATGGTTTACGGTTTAGTGCATATATTATTGTTGCAGGTACTGAGTAATGGAAGGTATAAGAGCGTACATCACAGGGCTGTGACCAATAAGGAATTGCCACGCATATCGATAGCAATGTTTTATGGACCAAATAAGGACACTATGATTGGTCCAATTGATGATTTAGTTGATGAGAAAGAACACCCTCCATTGTATCGTAGCTATCTTTTTGCAGACTTTCTTGCAGAGTTCTACAAGCAAGAAGGGACTAGGAGGATGGTCAAGGAAGTTTTCCAGTTGCAGCATTGAGAAATCTTATTAGAGGATTTATAGATTAATCAAATTTACCACTCGTGAGTCGTGCACTTTTTATTATAATTTTATTTTAATAATTTCAGTTTCAATTATGACAATTGACTTTTGTGGTTTAAGGCTTTATCTGGTTGTTTGGGTTTCTTGTGGCTTTTTTATTATTTTTATGAAATCAAAAAAATTAATGTATTAAGAAATTATTTTTTTTAGCTGTATGAAAAATCATGAATGACTGGTATATGACTTTCTTTTTTAGTTTTTATTTTTGAATTTTTTAATAGTTTTTTTACTTTAAATTTTTTTTTATCTTAGCTTTCATTTAGGATGTGAGTTGGCTTTTTAACTTTTTGACTATTTTAACCTGAGGTTAAAAAGTCTCATTTGTGATGAATTTTTTAATTTTTTTTTTACTTTTGTAAAAGAAAAAATGAAATAATTATGATTTAGATATGATATTTTATCTTATTAATTTTTTAATCTTTTTTATCTTTTTGTGATTATTTTAATCCAAAACCAACGTGCCAAACATAATTTTAAAAGCAAAGTTTATACCAAGAAGGCCTAAGTTGTAATGTCACATTCTGTCTATCTCTTGTTAATTAGGTTAATGAAAATAAAAATGAAATTTTAATAAAAATATAATAATCAAAATAAAATTTTTATAAAAGTATAGAAGTGCTAATGAAGTAGTAAAAATGTCAATATGATCTACGTGACCAGTTTTATCAACCTTATTAATGTTAAATACACTACAAAAAAATTAACTTTTTGCGACGGTAAAATACCGTCGCTAATACTCCTAATGCCGTCGCTAATACTTTTTGCGACGGCAAAACGACTTTTTGCGACGGCAAGAGGGGGGTCGCAACTGCAGGGGTTGCAAAAGAGTTTTTGCGACGGTAAGTGCCGTCGCTAATGTTTTGCGACGGCATTTTTACCTTTTTGCGACGGTACCATGCAGTCGCTAATAACGTTTGAAATTTCTTAATTCAAAAAACCCTTAAATAAATTTTTCATTACAACTTTTACTTTTGTTCACATAAAAAAAATAAAAATAAAAAACAATGACATCAGCAAAGGACGTTGGTGATGCATTAGAACAAATTTCACCATCGTAATTTGTTCAACCCGCACATAATGCGGCTAAAGTTGCACGGTTGCGGGATAGCCGCTACAAAAAAATTAACTTTTCGCGACGGTGAAATACCGTCGCTAATATTCCTAATGTCGTCGCTAATACTTTTTACGACTGCAAAATGACTTTTTGCGACGGCAAAAGGGGGGTCGCAACTGCAGGGGTTGCAAAAGAGTTTTTGCGACGGTAAATGCCGTCGCTAATGTTTTGCGACGGCATTTTTTACCTTTTTGCGACGGCACCATATAGTCGCTAATAACCTTTGAAATTTCTTAACTTTTTGCGACGGTCCTATTTTACCGTCGCTAAAAATGTTATTTGAGACGGCAAAAAATACCGTCGCTAATAGTCTTTTTTAAAAAAAAAAAACACTATTTTTTGCGACGGTGTGGTGCCGTCGCAAAAAGTATAAAAAATATGAAATTTTCTATATTTTGCGACAGTGCAATGCCGTCGCAAAAAATATTAAAAAATAATAAAATTTTTATTTTAAATAATAAAATTTCTACTTTTTGTGACAGTATAATGTCGTCGCAAAAAGTAAAACCTATAACAAAATTAATAAAAATATTAAAATTTTCTATTTTTTCCGACGGTGGTGCCGTCTCTCACTCTCTAAGAGCTGATTATTTACATTCCATTCACAAAAACATCATAACAGAAAATAAAAATAAAAATTGATCAAACCATCAAATTCAATATTTTACAAAGAACAATTAAACTGTACATGTTCATAAAAGCATATTTAAATTATAAAATTCACCCAAATCCTAAAAAAAATAAAATAATAAAATAAAATCTAAAATTCACCAATCAGCACATTGGATATTTAAATGCTCTTACAAAAAATAAAAAAATAAAAAATTTCCAACAAGATCTCAATTCTAAAAAAAAAATAATAATAATAAAATAAAATCTAAAATTCACCATTATTTTCCATTATTTAAAAAGGCCTACAATGAGAACTTTCACTTTTGGAGATTATAGGGCAGTCCAAATCCAAGCATTCAAAACAAACAGTAAGTCTTTCGAAAGGGAAAAATATAAACATGTAGAGGATATTGCATTAGACAAATTGATTTCAACTGCTCCAGTGACGTCTTCCAAGTAACAATGGCCATCCTCTAACTGAGATATAACGCCCATGACCCATCCTCTATAGAAGGAAGACAAGAACCTTCTAGATGAACAGCCAGTAGAAACAACAGCAGTGCTTTTCCCAGAAAAACCAACATCAAGTCTGTTGAAAAATGCATAAGCACCAAATCAGTTCCATAGAAAAGGTTTCAGTGTGGACACAATTATGGCTCTACTGTTAACTACCAGGTACATAAAACTTGAAAAAAGGGCAAGGGCTCAGTATGCATTGCCTTTGGGTTCCAATATTTAACAATATCTCATTCCTACAGTCATGTTTTACGCACTCAAGCGTCATGCAGCTTATTTCACAAATTTCCACTGGGTTACGTAATTAATGTCGATGCTAGTTTATGTAAAGGTTAATTAAAGAATTGACCTCTAAGAGTAACTGAAATGGTGGCTAATAAAAATTGATAGCAAAGACATGAGTTATATAAGAAAATTTTGATAGGGAATATATGAAATGATAGAACCACAGTTATCCCTGCAAGACTACCTAGAACCAACACAAAATAAAAGCTTACGCACTTTGGTTGTGCAGTTGTTCCAACAATTAAATCAGTTTGAGCCCCTCCATTACGTGCATCCTTGGAATTTTCGAGACCTGCAGACAAAAGCCAAATCCAAGTCAAAAAATAAGAAACTTAAGAGCGCAACTTTTTTGGTAGGATGTAGTGTGAATATGTAATATTGATATTGATGTCATCCAATTAAGACAATTTGTTACAAGTTTTTCATAATCTAGTTCAAGGCATTAGGCAGAGAAGAAATCATGCATTATAGAATAACCAATGAGCAATGAAATGTGTAATAACCCTTCTTTCCCCAACATCCAACATCCAACATCTATAAAGGACTAAGAAATTTGATTGGTGGATTTGTTTAACTGTTATCTGAACTACTTCAGCAGAGGTACCTGGCCAAGTGGTTCATTACTTAAAAATAGTTAGATTCCTATCAGTTCCACCTTACATGTTTTTTAAACTACAACAGGGAAATGTGTTTTAAATAACACACTCATCGCACCTCAATGACTAGTTGATCTGAGAATTTACAAAAACAACTCTCTCCCTTTTAAGTGTTTGCAATCCATGATTTGTTGTTCCTTAATAAACATAATCAGCTAAGCAAAATAGATACTTCCAATTGACATCATTGCATAGAAACTCTGTCTGAACAACTAACCCATAAATAAACCACCAATCTATAGATCAATTTGGCTCCTTGATCTTACCAGAATCTAGTGCAAAAGAGTTTTTGCGACGGTAAGTGTCGGCGCTAATGTTTTGCGACGGCATTTTTTACCTTTTGCGACGGCACCGTGCAGTCGCTAATAACACTTGAAATTTCTTGACTTTTTTGCGACGGCC